GTTCTGTTTTCTGTGGAAGAAGAGTTGTATTCTACTGCCTTGTGGGTAAAAAACTGGCAGTTTGGGCAGGTTCCCAGGCAGCGCTGTGGGGCAGGCTGAGAGTCAAATCCCCACGGATTCCCTGTGCTGAAGCAGCAGGCTGACCACCCAAGCAGTGGTCCCTGAAACAGTCCTGGTACCAAACACAGGGCAGCGCTGCAACACGGACCGGGGCAGTCATGATTCTGGGCTCCACCAGAACAGATGGGGTTTGGGTTTTTTGGTTGTTTTTTTTTTGTTTGTTGTTTTTTTTTTTCCAGTTTGGATTATTTTTCTCTGATGCAGCATAAAATTAAAGTTGAGTTTGGGAGACAAATGTGGCCACAAACCTCCACCTTTCCTTCCGTTCCACCCCCTTTCCCCATTCCCTGCAGCAGATGCGCGCTTCTGCGCCCCAAGCCCTCACCTCACTGGCAGTCTTGTTGCCCAGCTTCTGCGAGATGGCCTGGAAGGTCTCCAGCTGGGCTCCCTTCTCCTGGCACGTGGTGAGGATGACTCTGTCAGCCTCCCTGCGAAGCCGTACAAGAGTTAGGAAAGCAGCTGTGCCCACCCTGAGCCCGAGCGGCCTGCTGCCAGGGAAGGGTAACAACCACAGAGCCGGCCGGTCCCTTTACTGCTGCCACCACCACCCACCAGACGCATCCCTAAGCAGAGCTGTGTTTAGTGTTTAGCCCGTTTCTAAGCTTTTTGAAGGAATAACAAAAAATTTCCTCTCCAGCCTGAAGTAGTACAACAATTACGCTGCCGCGAGCAGACAGAAATTCTCACAGGACCAAGGCGGCAGCTGTGACAGATCGTGGCTGGAGGAAACCAGGCAGGAGTGTTCGCAGGGAGGTGGCAGAACACATCAGAAAATGGGGATACAAAACGAAAATAAAGGCTACTCTGTAAGATGAAACCTGAAGCCGGGTGCTGAGTGCACGAAGGAGCGAAGCCGCAGTTCAGGCAGACGTACCTGGTCCAGAGGACAACCTTCTCCCCAGTAGAGCTGACTTTGCTGTTCTTGGCACACACAGTTGCTTCTGTGACACGCTGCTGCTGCTCCTCTTCCTTCTGCCCCAGGGAACCAGCAACCGCGCTGGGTTCTGGCTGCTCGGAATGCTGAGGCACCTGGAAGCAGTTGTTTGCATTTGACTTTAATCTGCTCTCAGGAACATTTCCAGTGCAGCCTCTGTCCTCTGTTTCCAGAACGCAATTATCAGGGGCCGGTGAGCTGCAGCTCTTACCCAGCGCTGGATTTCTACCTGGCGTTACCCAACCCTGCTTGGCCTCAGGTTTTCCTTCCAGAGGCAAAGGTGGTCCCTCAAATTCTTTCACACCTAATTTCGAAGCATGACCAAAGACAGTGAGCTTATCTGCTGAATCGGAATGAAGCCCTTCAGGCTGACATGAACTCTTCCCAGAGGAGGAACTAGGTCCCATTAGACCTTTTGCTACGGCAGAGCGAGAGGACAGCAGCAGATCTCTGCCCAGGCCAAGGGAAGTGTCTGCATTTCCTTGATGTTGCTGGTTTCGTCCCTCACTCTCGCTTCCCGCAGTGCAAGGGCAGTCTTTGGTTTCCTGAGGTAGTTTTAGAGCAGCTTTTTGGAGATGTGTCCATCTGGGGCCAGCGAGAGCAGAGTCACTGTCCTTCGCAGCACTCACAACAGCACTGACACCGGCTTCTCCAACCTGATGATCAGGCAGCGCAGCTTTTTCAGAAGATGCCTGTCTCCCAGAGACAATCTTTCCTTCCAGGTGAGATCCTGGTAAGAAACCCAAACACATTGAGACTAGCTGTTAGTAAGAAAAACTTCTGGGGGCTTTATTCATTTACTTTTTAAGAGGTTTTTTTTATTATTATTATTATTCTAGAGCATAATGCTGTAAATGAGAACACAGTTTGGGAGCAGCTTTGTAACTCTACCTGCAGTTTAACCACCCCGTACTTCAAAGGCAGCACTCTGCAGTCAACGCTCTTCACCACTGTGGGTTACCACAACCAGCTGCTGCGTGAAGAAGCGACCAACACGTGAAAAAGCTTAAGCGCATCGCCCAGAACAAAATTCTCAGTGGAACAGACATCGCTGCTCTTGCCGCCCTGTTTACAGCCCCCCTGCACCAGGCATGAGGCTGCACCACATTTAACCCGCGCACCGTCTCCAACAGCAGCACCAGCTGAGACGCGGTGACGGGAAGAAGGAAGCGATCTCCTTCAGGTTGTTTATCCTGCAATAATCACGTTGCCCCCTGCCTGTACCAGACTGGAAGAAAAACAAGCAACGGGAAGGAGATCATTTAAAGGCAGGTTAGAGAGATGGTCATTCTGAATTGCCGTGCTACACTGAAAACTGGAAAAAAACCCCAGTAGCATAGACTAGTTGTACTGGAAATCAGATCAGGATGCTAGCAAGAGCAGCTTAAATGGACCAATCATTCTGAAAAGGGGAGCATATTTCTCTAGCCAGGAAAGCATTTTTGGAAGGGAATGCCCTGGATATATGCATGTTTAAAGCATCCACACTGGACAAACACAAGGAAAAAAATGAAAAAGATTATTAGAAGTTCTCACTATCTCAATCAAGTTGCATTAGGAAGTCCTACGCCTATTCTCCTGTGTGTGAACAGGTTTGGAGACGAACGACAGACCTGTCCATGCACAAGACTTTCACATACCTGCAGCCAGAGAGTCCACTTTCCTTGATACAGCTTTTGCTCTGCTCTGGACATCCTCTCCCTCATCTCTGTTCTCCAGGCTTTCTTCTACAGGTTCCTTAGACAGTCCAGAATCCTTCCCTTCAGGCTGAGGACTTGATTCTTGTCGATCCAGGCTTGCAGTCAGCTCTTGAGAATCTTTATTTTTATAAAATTTGTTTTCACACACCTGCAAACCAACATATAGGCATACAATTACAGATGTGGCATACCGACCCAACCCTAACACCTCGGCCTTTGCTTCCAAAGTATTCCTTGACCCCAACACAGACTTCGGTCTGGCGATACGTTTGCACTTAAAAAGCTCCATCTTTTTTAGTGTTATGAACAGGCACAGTTCTTTTCACATAGCGGCCACACAAGCATCTTCCACTAAAAGAGCATGTTCTTAACTCGAAAGAACATCAACATTCACGCTGTTTTTTACTATTTACACTATTTAGCATCGCAAGCAGGGGCAGTAGAAGGTGAACAGGAGACAGACAGGGGAGGGCCAGGTAGTGCAGTCGGAGCTCCAAAGAGGAAGATCTCTGGTCACCCTTTCATTCGCTCTCTTCCTCAGCACGCCACTTCGCAGACACGCGGCCCGGGGCCGGACAGATCATCACAACAGCGGGACTCTTGGCAGGACTCAGCTTTCCACCCCCCACTTCAGTGGCTTGGCCTATCAACTAACCTTACTACTACAATGGCTGCAGGTCCTCCTTTTGCTTTTCTTTAGCTTGAGATCGCTGCTCCCTTCGTGGCAGGAGCATGAACATTCCTTCATCCCATCTACCCACTCGACCTCCTGGAAACAGACAGACGCCAGCTGCAGACGTGCACGGAACACAGAGATGACAGTCGGGGGAAGGTGAACCCCCGAGGGAGCCCGCCAGGGCTCCTGGCACCCTGCGCACACCCCGCCACAACTACAGTGATTGTGGCGCTAGCCAGCAAAGCAAGAGGGAATCGGTTCAATCCCCTTTCTTCACATCTTTTTAGGCTGTTGTCGTGTCTCTCGGCGAGACACATTTATCCTCATGGGCATGCATTTGCTCAGAGTCCACATATGTGAACCAGTGAGATGCCCCACGCCCACCTTGTCATTGTTCTGGCCTCCAATCTCTTTCCGCTTCTTATTTTTCGAGGCCGCGTGCATCTTGGGTGGTTCATCCTCCTCTTCTACATCTGGCAAAGACACCTCTTCAAACCCATCAAACTACAAAAAAAGAAACACACA